CGGATGGCGGATGGTTCCTTTTACGTCTCATAAACCATTTAAACATTTTCAACTTGTTAGCAATTAATTAAATAGATCGGCCCCTGGCTAACAGCTTCGACTGTCATTTTTCTTGCGGTCATCTCTCTCTCTCTCTCGCTCTGTGTGGATCGGTGGTCGGTGTTCCACTTGCACCTCCCTCCGGCCGCCTGTTAATTACGGCGACAGCATTCAATTTTTATGGAGGACACACGCCCTGTTGTCCGTTGTCCTTTTGCGAGCATGCTCGCACTCGCACTCACAGTCGCATTTGCATGCCCCTCTCTCACTCGCACAACCATGCCCCATACAGCAACAGTCTGGCAACGCTGCGGCACGCTTCAAACGTGCCGATACAACGCATCCAACGCAACAATCCATTCCCGGGCCGCTGCCACTGCCTGCTCCTTGGCTGGAAATTTATTTCGCTGTTTTTGCAATTTAAGGTAATTATTATGTACCTTTGGGGTAATTTTAACACCTCGACACCATCGACAAATATCATCTTGGGGCTCGCTGCCGTTGCCTGGCTGTCCGCTCGTGTGTCCGCTCAGTGTCCGTTGCCCAAGAGGTAGCAGCAGAGCAGCTCTGTTCCCAGCTATCAAGCAGCCCGAATCACAACAACCACAGCCAACAGACAAACGTTTCTTAGAAGCGCAAAGCTTTCAACACCTTCGATGCGTGCCCCCAGAAGAACTTCCCCCCCCCCTACACCCCTACACCACACCAAGTGCCGATCCAAGTCCCACTGCGAGTCGCAGTCGCAGTCCCAGTGGCAGTGCCTCTGCCTCCGCCTTCATCGCGTGGCCCCTCATGGGTAGCAGCTCTTTGGCCAGTTATTTTTCACACCTCGACAACATTTTTTCGCACTTGAGCCGCGGATTCGGTTACCACAACAATCAAGCATTGCCGCCACCGCTTCAGCTTCAGACTGCACTGGGCGAAAAAGTGTGCACGACTTGCCTCTGGTTTTGGTGATGTTTATTCAAGTTTTGTGGCAATTGTTTAATTTTCAATGCAAGAATCTCACTTGGCATTCTGCAGCTGATGTTCCTTCCATTAAAAATAGAAAATATTCGAAAATAAATAAATAAATATTATTAAACTGAATTTAAATATATTTTTACGGTTTCTTGATTGCTTTCGTGCATATGCCCATGCGTTTGAGCTCTTGTTCTTGTGCTTCTTTCAGTGTTCAATTCCGATGCCGACTGCCGTTTTTAATAACCGAAGCTCTCTGCTCTGCTCGATTGCTGCTGATTTGCTCTGGCTGTTATCTCACTCAGCTCATCGGGCGGGATGTACGGCTGCTGCTGTTGCTGCTGCTGCGGTTTGACTTTGACTTTGGTTTCGGGTTTTTCGGGGCCTCGGGTGCCTTTTGGTTTGGGGGGCCACAGCCACAGTCACAGTCATCCCGGCCTGGCCGCCGGGCCGTCAGCACAATTATCGCAAGTAGCGTGCGTGTAAATTACCGTTATTAGGTGTGATCGTGCAGCAGCAGCAGCAGCAGCAACTTGCAACTTGCAGCAGGTCAGGCCCCAGGATGATCTCAGCTTTCAGTTGTCCAAAGTTAATTTTCACTTCGCTTTCGTTTCATTTTTTTTGGTTGCCCTTCATTCATTTCCCAACAAATCTCCGAAAAAATCGGTATATGGACACCCATAAAAAGTCAAATTAATGTGATGTGACAATAGGGATAGAGATCTCGATCGTGCCGCACCAGCGGATTGCATCGCACCGATCTGACAGATTTCACGCTTACGATATCACCTTCGAAAATGGAAAAAAAAAAAGCAACAGCAGCAGCAGCCTAACTGTTCGCTCTCCGGCACTGCTGGGCTGCTGCTCTTCTTCGGTGTCTTCGGTGACCTACTCCATCACGTCTGTGATGGCACGCACGTGAGTGGATTGCCGAGTTCAAAGGGTGTCCGTGTCCGTGTCGTGTCGGAGTTCAGTAGCCAGCCACCTTGCCTCCCTGGATGGTGTTTTGAATTCCAATTAGTGTTAATGAACAGCGAGCACATAAAATATATAATTAATTGTCACAAGGCGCAGGCTGGTGGCATGGCGCTTCCGTTTTGAGAACTTCTGGGGAAAAACCAGAGCAGCGCGAGCAGAATCCCACAGGTAGGGATTCACGGATTCAGCTTCTACGTGGTGTCTACCTGTCCTGATTGATTCGCTCTACAATATCTCCCATAAGCGAACGGCTAACATCCCCTTTAAAGGACAAACGTTTTGGCTGTAGAACAGATTTGCAGAAATGTTTGGAAAGTTCTAGAAAAAATATTGGCACTAACCGGAAGATTTAAGACGAGTTAACGGAGGAGCATTGCATTGATTGGAAACAAGCAAAAAAAAAAATCAGCTTGATCCCTAGACGAGAACAGGATTCTTGTAATAATATTTAACGAGCGATAGATGTCGCTGCTGACATCCAATTAGAATGGCAAGCCGCTGCCAGAGGGCGCTGCATCTCTCCAATTGGCTGCAAACCCAGGCCGAGCCTGGCAACCCTGCACATCTGTTGATCCTTGCCGTTTGGAGTACCTGTACAAAGGATCAAGAGCAACATTCTTTTCCACATTTCATTCGGTTTAATTAATCACTCGCCCCAAAGCGAAATGAAGTCCGCGGCTAATTAAAATGCTACCAAAACAATTTCCATTTTCATTTTCATTTACTTTTGGGATCGGTTGGACTTGGCTCGGCTGGGATGGGTGTGGATCGAACAAATTGAAGAAGGGTTGAAGCCTGAAAATGGGTGGGCGTACAGGTGATGACGCAATACATTTTTCCATTCATTCAGCGTATTAGAAATGCATTAGGATTGAACACCATCAGCAGCAGGAGCAGCGATCATCAACCCCTGCTAGCGTTGGCAGCTTTTAAAAAACAATTATAACGAAAGTGGTTCGGGGTTGGTTTGGGAATTTGGATTTCGATTTCGATTATCCTGGCCTGGGCTGGTTCTACGCGCTACCTCGCCATGGGTGTGACTCCGCCGCCAACTCCTTTTGCTGGCAGCTGCTCCTTGGGCCAATGTTAATCAAGGTTTCATTTTATTCGTTTATGGGCCGCAATCTCGTTACCAGAACGAGAGCCCATCATCCCACCGATCCCGATTCCCCCTAACGGCATTTTCTTTGCCTGCCTGCCTGCCTCATACTCATCAGGCAACAAAGTTGCCATTGCTCTCTGTTTCTGTTTCAGTTTTTTACATATTTATTGGCGGCTTTATGACGGGGGTGGTGCCGTTGCCGCGCACCGAGAACTGAGGACTGAGTTCCACTTGTTACGGCCGATATAAATAGTCAGGCCTGACTATATGCCATTATTGAGGTTGCTTGGGCAGGGCAGTGGGCTTTGTGGAGGGTACAGATATAGCGGATCGGCTCTCAAATGCTGTCAATATCAATGTCAAGCAGGCACTCGTGACAAAGCCCTCGGCCATCGTTTGGTGTTGCTTTTTTTTTTTGTTGGTCCTTTGCTCAAAATACTCTTTAAAGTGCGAGTCATATTCTGGCGAGGCAATGCCAAATCGATCGATAAAATTGGCACGTACATAAATATGTAAATAAATACATAAATACATACTTAGTACATATGAACATATGTTTTTCTGCTAAGGTTGCTATTGGGAAAGTGTGTCTTTGGGGTGTGGAAAGAGCATCAAAAGCTGGCCTTTCCATTGGGTTCTTGGCTGAATTTTTCGCGTCTTTTATATGCATGAGGGGGCACACACTTGTGGGATTTGTCTGCGTCATTATCGTTGGTCTGTTGTACTGTTGCCAGCTTATGGTAATATCGGCACTGATCGGAAGCACGTGTCAAATGCGGCAGCGACAAAAAGCAGAAGGGGAAAAGCAGCTCCAATGCTCTGTCCAGAAGGAACGCCCGAAGCGCAATCAAGGCCAGCAAATATATACATATACCTACATATATACAGCTATATATATCGCATGTACAGTGATATCTGCTGAGTGATAACTGATCAAAAGAAAGGGGAGAAAGGTACTTGGAGATGTGCAGATCGAGGCAGTGAAAGTGCCAACGCCTCGTCTCCATCTCCTTCGCCTTCTTTCTCTTCCCCATCATTTGGTTGGTTTTTTTTTGTGCGTTTCGCCTTCGTTTTCTTCGTTCTCACATGATGGATCACATTTTATATCAAGTTCCATAATGAATATTGTTCCAGCTACGATCCCAAAAATATTTCTGCTTTCAATGCAAACGACATTGAGGACGGGACGAGACGATACGACAAGGAAGGACAACAAAAAAAAAGTGGAAGTGCATTGAAAAGCGAGTCCTCTTTCTGGCAGTACTCCCCCGCCTCCTTCTACATCGTTCGTCTCTCTCCCACTCTGTATCTCTCCATGCCAAAGGATCCTCCTGACAAGGATCAAGGCGAACAACACACAGATTTAAGTCTCGATTTCGATAGAGAGTTTTTCCCAAAAGAAAAAGTAAAAGAAAAGGAAAATACATGCACACAAAGACCAAGAAAATAGTCCTCCGCTCGCTCGCTCGCTCGCCTGGGGGAGAAATAAATCAAGTAGGAGAGGGTGTGCTCGAGAGAGAGAGAGGGAATGCACCCTAGGAGCATGCGCGAGAGAGAACAACAACCGAGGCAGCAGGACTCTCTCTCTCCTCGGTTCCCCGATCGTCGCTACACGAACTCCTCTCGAGCTGCGAGCCCCGATCCCCGCTCGTTCACTTGTGCGCACAGGCCAAAGGGAGCGACCAAGACGCAGGGCAGGGCAGGGCAGGGCAGGTAGCTAACAGCACCACCACCACCACCAGAGCACACTCTCTGTCGCTGCCTTCTCTCCCTCTGCTGCTCTGCCTACGTCTCTGCCGCTGCCACTGCCACTGCCAGTGCCTGTGGCTCTGGCTCTGCCCGGGCCCCGCGTCAACAAGTACTTAAGGGGCCCGTGCAGGACGAGGTATATCATTGCGGAATCTGATTCCACACAGTCAACATCTCAGCAGCCTAGAGCCAACTCTACTCCTCGAAACGGATTACCATGACGAGCGTATGCAGCAGCTACCAGCACTATCAGCTGACCAACGGCAGCATCATGCAACTGATGCAACACCACCAGCAGGGCCAGCAGCAGCAGCTACAGCAGCACCAACAGCTGATTGCCCCCAAGATGCCGCTGGGCAACAGCCAGCTCCAGAACATGCAACAGCAGCACCAGCACCAGCAGACGAACAGCTCTGCCGGCCCCATGCTGGCCAAGAAGAAGTTCAACAACTACAACCCAATGCCCTATGGTGAGCCGCAGATGCCATCGGTGGCACGTCGCAATGCGCGGGAGCGCAACCGCGTCAAGCAGGTGAACAACGGCTTCGTCAATCTGCGCCAGCACCTGCCCCAGACGGTGATCAATGCCCTGTCGAATGGGGGACGTGGCGCCAGCAAGAAGCTATCGAAGGTGGACACACTGAAGATCGCCGTGGAGTATATACGCGGCCTGCAGGACATGCTCGGCGATGGCCAGCCCCGTCCGATGTACAGCTCCGGGGACGAGAGCAGCAACGATGGCATTTACAACGACAACTACGACAGCAGCCTGGACAGCCCCGAGTCGCAGTTCGCAATTGTCGCGCAATCGCATTCGTATCACTCGGCCTCGCCCACACCCTCGTACAGTGACGCCTCCGATGTATCGGCCAGCTATGTGAAGCAGGAGATGCCCGATCACGAGCACGATCACCAGCACCAGCAGCATCACCAGCAGCATCAGCTTCAGCATCAACTCAAGTTCGAGTCCTTCGACAGCTTCAGCGACGAGCAGCCCGACGATGAGGAGCTGCTCGACTACATCTCCTCGTGGCAGGAGCAGTGAAAAGTGCACAACCACCAGAGCAGGAGATCCCAGCGATCCCAGCCATCCCAGAGAGCAAGCCAAAAAGTATCCCCCAAACACCCCACCCCACTGTACAAACTGTAAATATCGAAAATGTTGCCTTAGTGAGTGAGAAACGAAGAAGAAGAAGAAGAAACCAAGTCCCAGATTCTATAACTCTAGTTCGTAAGCCCAATACAATATTTTTTTTTTGGAAGCTAGCATTAAGCATGGAAGACAATGATATAAAACAATATTTTTTTGATAGTTCTAAGTTCTGTTATAAGCATGGAAGACACTAAACTACTCTTAAGAACCCATTATTGATATGCAATAATAAAAACAAAACAAACAATCTCAAAACATAATTCAAAAGCAACTCTTTTTTTATTCGAAAAACATTTACAACAATTTCAGCATTAAAGCAAAATCAAATCTGCAGCGAAACCGATCGATCACACATCTAACTCGAATAAGAAGAGCAGTTCCAGCAGTTATTAAAGTTCGATCTACAAAATGGGAACACAAAATGGGAATAAACGACTCGTAACGATCAGTTGGCAGACTAAATAAAGAGCTAAACAGATCACCCATTTAACAATTATGAGCCCAATGACTATTGGTAATTTTCAATTACTGCGCAAGCATAAAATAAATAACAAAATAAATATATTATGGGCTGAGGCCAAATTCTGTGGCAACTCATAATCACATGAAACCGACTCTAAAGATATTTTTTTGATTACCATTTAGCCATTAATGATAGAGAGCATAGATTTTTCTTTAAGGTTCTAGCAGTCACTGCTGATCTCGATCGTCGCATCAACAAAGACAAACTATATCTTATCTGCATATGTGAATATTTTGAACGAGAGTTTTAGTACTTCATGTAGATATAATATAATATATATAATATATATAATTTAAATGAGAGTATCAAAAGAAACTTTATGGAGTAACAAGAGTCTATGAATGAAACTCCCAGCAGTGCAGCTAAAAAGAAGTCCATATTCTAAGCCAAAGGATTGCCGCAAGTAGCTGTCCTTTAATTGCACTGAAAGTTCAACAACAAAACTAGTTTTGGAAACATATAGGGACCAGCCATGACTCACTGGAGCTGGCTAGCCATGGCAACGACAGCGTCCACCGGAAACAACAGCGAATATTTGTTGAAATATAATTTATTTTTTTTTCTGTTGTTATTTAACGAGTTTCAATTTTCGTTCGGGCATTGTTAGTGGCACATAAATTGCCCCCGAGAGCGGAAATAGACAGTCACGCCTGAGAGGTTGAAGCAGACCACGGGCACCACGAATAGAAATGTGAATTGGCGCAGGAGTAAGCAGCAAGCAGCAAGGAGTAAGGATCGCGGCCAGGGCCCACGTGGCTGGCGCACCCCGGCGTTTGTCAGCTTTCAAGCTGGCCGTAATCACGAGCCATAAAATGCACTTCCGCTTGAAAGTTGCCCCGTGTGTCTAGTTCCCGGTAACCCTCTGGTAGGAGGGTGAGGCTAATGCGCAGCCCCTGAGACGCCTTGTTTCGTCGCACCCTCTCGTCGGTGGCAACTTTTGGGCGTGTGCCAAGACGCAGGACTCGCGCGGCAATGATGATATGCAGGAATTTCAACTATGGCCCATGTAAATGGGCCACGCCCACCGCTGGCATTATGCAAATGCGAACGGACACGTGCAAGGGGCTCAATCAGCGTAGGGCAGGATCCGCTGACCCGCCCCAGGGGCGAAACGGTGCGCTCCATAAGGAAGTGAGTGCGCTGATCGTGCGCATGATGATGAGGCTGATGACAGGAAGCATATCGTCTTGCCCGAAAAATCCAATATTTTTCCTTAAAATAAAAAAAAAAAGGAGAGGAAACCAAAGGAGGACTCCTTACTTCTGGTAGGTAGGAGGAACTCGAAGGACCAGGGCCAGGGCCAGGACCAGCACCAGCACTAGGACCAGGGGCACAATGCGAAATGTGATTGTATGTCAGCTTAAGATAAAACCAGGAAACGCAATGAAAGAAACCCTGAATGAGAGTGAAACTCTCCCTCCTTCTCGTTCTCGTTCTCGTTCTCTCGTAGTCGTCGGGGCTGATGGCTGATGGCTGATCTCGTCTCGTCTCGTGTCTCATTGTTACCGGATATCAAAAGAAGCTTAGGCCAAGAAGCAGGACCTGCTGGCATATACCAACATACGTATGTATGTATGTATGTATGCATTTATATGCAATGCTATGGACAGCCGGACAGCAGTGTATAGGTGTCAAAATACGAGGCTAAGCCAATGCCCTCTAATAGGCTGGCCCTGCCAGTTTTATGCAATCTTAGCTAAGACTTCAAGCGAATATCCTTGTGCCAGGGGGATACACACAGAGAGTGATCGGACACCCGAACAGCGACTGGGTACCTCCCCACCTCTCTCAAATGACAGAGACGGAGATCAGAGAGATCTTTGGGCAATTGCAATAAATTGAGTTTCAGCATTTTGAGGGAACCAGAGACGGTGACGGCCCAGAGGCCCAGCGGCTGAGTGCCCGAGAGCCAGGAGCCAGCAGCCAGGAAGTAGTAACTTCTTTTGTGCGCCACTTTAGAGCGAGAGACATGTCCGCAGGAAGTGCGTATTTGTTTTGCATGTATCGGGACACAGACACAGACACACACAGAGACACCGACGCACGCAGTCCTTGGAGTGTCCTCGGCGATCCTTTTGCTTTCGTCTATTTATTTTTGTAGATGCTGCGCGCCTTCGGAAATTCGGAAATACGAGCCAAATGTTATTCTATCATGTCGCAATTCAAAGGAAACGAGCAAGGACACTCCACTCCACTGCACTCCCTCGCGAGGACACTTGTAAGAGTGTCCCTTGCCGTACCGTCCCACAACTTGTAGTTGCACTTCATTCCTGCCGATGCTCGTAGCCGAAGACGGCGACCCATTTGAGTTATGTATGTGACTTTATGACGGCGTCCCAGCCGCGCATCGCTGGCCAAGATTTATGACCCATGTGTCAAAATACGAGAGCGCATGTTGCACTGCACTGTCCCAGCAAGGACATTTCCATCTCTCTCGCCCCGAACCATCGATCATCTACGGTAGAACGGGCCACCGATGCTCGGACTCTGACTCCGATTCCGATTTCGACTTGGACTCCCGACTCCGACTCTGAATTCTTGTCAAATTTCGCACTTAACCGGGGCGTCAAGTGGCATCGGTAGTTCTAGTTCTACACGTAGTTGTAGCTATTCCCAGTGCCTGCCCATTACTTCCTGGTAGCTTGTTAATGACGGCGACACGGAGTGGGCTACCCGTGCAGGGATCCAATGTCTGTCTGGTCGGCCCATCGATTCACCAATTGAGTTGTTGTCCCAGCGATTCGTCGAAGTTTCGTCTACTTGAGCTACCAGGAAGAAGCTGGACTGGACGGAAAGAGTCGTTTAAAAAATTACAAAATATTTACAAGGCAATAGAAGAGTTCGGCAAGAGCAAAGATTCCCTTTGCGATCAAAAGGCAGAAGAAATTTAATGTCACAAATGAAAATTCATGGAACAATCTGCCGCAGATAAGCAAAAAAAGATCACTTGCAGATCAGCTCTACATAAATATATCTGACCACTGCTGGATCAATAAACGGGATGGCTGAAATACAGATTAAAGGGAGCAATTAATATGCGCAGCTCCCACTCTGATCTCTGATCAATGATCCTCGCCTGAGAACACTACCCGACAAATAGGCAACTTTTTTTTCCTCAAGGATCCAAACCGACTTTTTCCTGATAGATATGGGGCTTTAAAATTTTTTAAAGAAGTATAGTTTTTCTATGGCAGAACTTTTTTTTGCAAGAATTTTTGAAGTCTGGTATTTTTTTTTTAGCTTTTTTCCAAATGCCATCATTGTTTCAGCATGACCTTAATATCATTACAGTGATTGTGATTGTCAAAACATTGCTATTTTGAAAAGGTAATTAAAACAGCTAGAAGTTACCCAAATGACTTTACATTCATCCATATATATCAGGCAGGGGATGGGATTGGAATGCCAAAATTGATCGATTTTTGGACTGTTGGTAACAAAATCTTGAAAAATCAACAAAGGGCAGTCACTCAAAAGAAATTAGTTCTTGTATGCACTATGTGTTTGTGTCCAGGTCCTTAATTTAAGGTTCTGTCGTTTAAGTTATCGCACATTAATTTATCTAGGACTTTGGAACTAAATCAGTAAGCAATCAAAGTCAGAGAGATTTGAACAAAAAAGCCATTTTGGAAGGCGGCGACAATGGCGATGCTCCGATATCGAGATCCATTGAAAAAACTTCACTGGAATATCCTATAGCATGCGCATCCGCCATTGTCCTGGATGAAAGTGATTTCTTCTTTTAATTTACGCATTCACGAAATGCGCGTTTATTGCACACACTCAATGGATAGAAATACGCACACACACACACACATGGAAAATTATCCATTGATGCTTGGCCTGAAACGAGTCCGCCGATTACTTTCAAAATGGTTTGTGAAGGTTCTTTACAACCGCAGCACAACTTCGATTAGCGAAAAAAAAGGTTACCTCTAAAAAAGCTTTAAAAAAAATACCAGTTTTCAAAAATTCTTTAAAAAAAAGGATGCCAAGAAAAAAAAAAATATCATCAAACCATTTCTAAGCCCCCAATCTTTAAGAAAAAGTTCGTTTTGTTCCTTGAGGAAAAACGTGTTGACTAGTGGAATCAGCTTCAACCCTCTGATAGGCATATCAGATATCCCGCTCTGGGAACAACTCATTTTGCCTGTCATCTCCGCATGTAGCTCGGTGATTAGCTAACAGCACGACACAGGGATACTCGGGAGAGCATGGGATCAGCTCGCTCTGCAATCTTCACTATCTCTGGATATCGGCTGCATTTCACCTTTGGCCCAAATGCCCAAAAACCATTGCTGCAGCGACGATCCTCAACGGGATCGATCGACGGTGATTGTGATTGTCCAAAACACACGCTACATTTAGCACAGTGTGAACTGCCGCCGGTAGTTAAATGACTTTACATTCATCCATACATATATATCAG